GTGATGTGGATAGCATTGGCTCAGACAGGCTCATCAAAATCTTCTTCTGCTAAGGCTTTATGCTACTTTTGGGTTAATGCCCCTAGGGCTACGAACTCTAAGAGTTTCCCGACCCGAATGAATTCTTCCATCAAGCTCCTACGGTGTATGCGTTCTTCCGTGTCATGGTCACGATCCTTGTCGTACTTACAAAATTTATTTGTGTTATGGAGAAAAGCGCTGATTCTCATTGATGGAGCATTTTTGAAGTACTTGTCTTGTACGGCCTCCACCGACTCCGTCATAGAAACACTCAATTGAGTGGCTTTTGGTATCTATCAGTCGTCCAACAATCGGTCATTTGACCAACTTTGTCCTCCTCTTTGGTGGCTTTTGTCGGCTCCTCTATTGTCACGAGGCAGCTGACTATCATCACATCCAGGGCATGGGTTGTCCTTCGACCTTCACCCATCATCTCGCGAGGCTCTCTTCTACGAGAGGCAGTCAGACTTTTCAACTTTCTGATAGAAAGGGTGGATATACTCCTCCACTGCAATGTGGTGGTTGGTTAACTCCAAGAGTTCAATCAAACTCTTGGGTTGTTTCAAACCCAAAGCATCCTTGAATGCTCACTTCTCAACCCTTGGGCCAGGGTGAACTGTGCTACTGCGGGTTCATGATCCCACATTTCTATCATTTCTCTCAAAAACTGAGAAACATAAAAACAAAGGTTCTCATTTGGCCCTTGCTTGACATGTCACATGGCATGTGAGTTCTTGCAGGTTTTTTAGGAGTTGGGAAACAATTTCGTGAAAATCTTCTTGAATTTAGAGGTGATTACTCTTGTTGGGAGGCCATTAAACCACCTAAAGGTCGAGTCTTTCAATGTGGTATAAAATAACCTATAATTCAGTGTGTCAGATTTTGAGAAGGCTGACGATCGCTCAAAGGAAGTGACATGATCGGTTGGATCACTCCAACATTTGTATGATTTTAAAGAAAGAAGTTTGAACTTTTATGTAGACTTGGGAGATCTGCTGGGAGAACTCATTCTCCGGTTGGCAGTAGACCTCCATACATCCAAATCATTGTCTGATCAACGATGTAGACCCAACACTGAGTATTCCATCCTTTCTGCCTCTTTAGTCGTTAGGTAGCCTTAAGGTTTGGGTTTTTATTTTTTCTCGAGGGTTCTGCTATTAGGGACTTGTTCTCTTCCCTCGAGTAATGTGCGGTTAAATTATGCCATCTGACCCACTATTTGGTCCCTAACTTCTTGGATTTGTTATTGCACAAATTCCCCCATGCACTCTATGTTTGCAGTGTCTCTCAAATGAGTTTCTTCTCTGTGGTGTGCTCCTCTTTTTGTAATTGACATGATTCACGCTCACCACACCTTTTAGGATGTTGAATCTAATTAGGTCCTGTGATTACAGACAAGAGAAACTGAGAGAGAGAGATTTAGAGAGAGTGTGTGTGTGCAGTAACCCAAGTGTTTTGATAGAGTAAATTCAGTAGTTCTTTATTATAAAAATAACCCCCTATTTATATATTCCTGGGGTACCTAATATAAAGTTACATGTTTGTCCCTTTTTTAATAAGAATGTTACGAGCCATTCTGTCGTATTAATAACTGATCTTAACACAATTTCATATTCATAAGCGGTTGAAGAAGGGCATCAGATGACCCGACAACCTTAGTCAAATGGAAACATTGGTCGGCCGGCAAACGTTCAAACTGCCAATAGGTCGTCAGTCGTCCCTCTCAAGAGAATTCTGAGAAGAAGCCCTCCTATCGTTAGAATGAACTGGGTCACCAAGCACAGGGTGTACAACCGTAATCTAACAGTCAGCTCTCCCTGGAAAATGAGTCTTCTCAAAGGATCAAAAAGGCCCTTTAAGAAATTTATGAGTTCAAGAATCGGCTGAGAGAGTTGATCATGAACGACTGTCATTCGAATTGGACTCATTTTTCTTCGTCGACTATGCTTATGTTCAGTCATCTCAGAGTTTCGACCAAAGGAAATGACACTTGTTGTTCTCGTCCTTTGATTATCCCGATATATTGTCCTTTGTTGTTTAGAAGTAAGACCAGTTGGATTTTCTCAATATTCATGCAGAATATATATATATATATATATATATATATTCCCTCATCGAGCTACAGTTGTGTCTGTCGAGCTGCGATTCTTTTGCGCATTTTATCTGCGGTTTCTTATCTTCTGCGCAGCTTCGCCCCGTCCACTTCAGCTCGTCTTTTTTGCCCTCTGCCCGACTTGCAGGGCTTCTCTTTGTTGTGATGGAGCTTCCTTCTTCTTTGGTTGAACCTAGCAAAATTTCATTTGCCCACGTGGTGAGTAATCCTCAGGAAAAGACGGCGGTTGTCTTCCTTTCAAGCTATAAGAAGCATCGTGATACAGGTAACTGCCCCTTTATTAAAATGCAAGCAGGAAAAGTGGAAAGACAATACTCTTTCTCTGAGTCAGAAATTTCAACAATGACTGACAAATTCAAGTTTGTTCTTATTGGAAAATTTCAGTGGGAACACCCATCTATAGAAGTTATCAGAAGAAGTTCTGATGACCTCAAATTAGCAGAAAAGTAGAAAGTGGGGTTCATGGATGGGAGACATGTAATGATTCAGTAGGGTTTTGAAAGTGTATTGCCCCTGTTGACCTTCCCCCTAAAAATATTGTTTCTGCGATCAATGAGAAGCTGGATGACCATGCTGAGCAGCCTACACTTTCAAACCCTACTGAAAATAATAATGAAAGACTCATACTTACACGGACTGATAATCAGGAGAACCTTGCAGCTACCCATCTTCAGGAAATATCAGGGGTAGAGGCGACAACTCTTACCTTACATACACTTGTTGGCCCAACTGTTGGCAATCTTTCTACCGCAGCCATCCGAATGAGCAACAATATTCGGATGAGGAATGGCGGGTCTACACTTCTAGGAGGAAGAAGAAAAATGGATATCTACTTGAGCTATGAAATCTAATGGATGATGATATTTTGGTTACTTCGGGCAATGGTACACACCTCACCAATCTGTTAGTTGGTTCCTTTCCGAGAACTAAAGACAGACAAAACTAAAGCGAGCCGACCTGGTTGACCTTTTATGTACCATCTACTTTTAAGTTTTTAAATTTTTTTTTTCTTTTTGTGTGTTGTACCATATGAGTTGGGTGCTATTTAGGTTTACTCATAAGACCAAACTAGGTTATGTTGTACAAACAAGAAATTCTCAAAATTGAGAAAACTTATTTGGCAAATCTAATTATCATTATTATTATTATTTTTTTATTTTTTTTATTTTTTGCCAAAAACATGGGCAACATATATTAAATCAAAATGAAGTATATCTACATGATCTTGAGATTGGGAATTGACAGCTTATCCCCATGAAGTAAAAATGGCTAAATTGGGGGGGGGGAATTACCAAATATATATATATTCATGTGATTTTTGGAGAGAATAAGTAATACATTGCACTCGATTAAAATTTATAGATAAGAGAATCAAATACATGGTCATAACTCACGAAATGCAATACTCACCAGCCAACTATAAGGTATCATTTGATTTAAATATAATTGGCAAATTTCAAATGCTCAGTTTCCAAAAATTTACAACTTATCAAAATTTCCAAATGATAGTTTAAAAGGGCTTTTACATACATACCACACAATTCTCATGTTTTTACCTATCCAACACCTAATCATTCATATTTATATGCATACCACTCAAATCGTTAAAATATCACTGCCACTAAATAAGTGAAATACGCCTTTTAATGTATAGGTAATAATTGAAATACACCTTTTCATGTATAGGTTTATCATAACAAGGTGTTATAACTTTAGATATTACACTTTGGGTTAGATATGTAAATACATAAGAATTTTGTGTTGTGAATGTAAATTTCTCTGTTTTATGTGTAAGTGACACACTATACACCTTTTAATTAATCGATGGACAAGTACGGATAAAGATTGAGGTTTCATCACATGCCACACGTGAGAGATAAAGGCCAAGAAAAATGCGAGAAAATGCATAATATGGGGTTGATTATGACATGAACATGGTTGGGCGAGGAAAAAACATATTATTTGGGAATGTTAGCAACTCCAAAAACAAATGAGAGGCAATTAAAGAACAAATAATAACAAAGAATGAAACTATTTTATTTCATTCATTGATGCTCTAAAGCTCCCAAATAGAGACTATTTATAGAATTCACACCCAAAGACTCACAACCTACTTATTATAACCATATAACTAACACATAAAAAGTTATAAATTCATTAACGTTAACCCAAATCAAAATCAAGCCCCCAAAGTCAAGGCAATATTGCAAGTGATGGCCAAGAAATTATTCGTGGTTGACATCGTCACCTTGTGAATGATGAATTAATGATCTAGTGATGGGTATTGGTGGAAGGACTTGTGAATAATGAATTACTGATCTAGCGATACTTGTTTGTGGAAGGCAATGAAACGCGAGTTTTAGGCTGGAGATGTGACATCTATCGAGTTATTGAAGTTGGATATTAAAGGGAGATCTGATGAGGATGGTGAAGGGCATGAAGATGATAGATGTGATGCGTCCATGGAATAACGATATGGACGGCAAGAGATGGGTTTGGATTGTCTAATAATAGATACCTTACAAAAGGCTCCACAATAGCATTATTGTAAAAAACACATTGTGGAGCCACGGGTAAATAATAGATTCAGTATGCTGATAACTCCAAAAATTAGGAGGGACAGAAGAAGAAATTAGAATAATAGAGAAATTTCATTATCCAATAATATAATACTCGCAAATGGAAAGTATTACAGGATTAAATATACTCCCTGTGATTCACTTACTACCTACAAAGCACTAACACAGCTCAAACTACCTATTATAATTATTGATTTAATACAAGTTTCCATCAAATATTTTTCTTTAAATTACACCGTAGATATAACAGTGCACTGGAAATGTTCATATGGAAAAACACTCCTGTTGGTCCCAAGAAAAAAAATATACAAGTAATTTTATTTAAAATATTTGTAAGGATGGTATATTTATGCTTTCGCGGTATTTCAAATCCACAATCGCATTTCATCGTAGAATTAAGTTCTATTAATCCTTGTTTCTTCCATAAATTTCAGAACCTCATGCTCATGCTTGTGAACATCAGGATTTGCATACAATAAACAGTTTACGGGAGATAGAATCACATGCCTGACAAAATAAAACTGTAGACGTTCCCAATGAAAGCTCATTAATCTTGTTTAGCATCTTGCAGACAGGACTTATTCTTCTCTGGCACTACTTCTGGATCTCCTGTAAGCTGCGAGGTTGAGGAGAAGAAAATCAAATGAGAAAATAATAATACATTAGAATAGAATATCATGTTGAACGGGAGAAATAAGTACTTCAAGTTAGATAACATAAGAAATAGTCAGGATAAAGATTATAATGTTGATGGCAATGGTATATAAGAATTCGCACATAAAGTGGTGCTTCTATAAGTTCATCTTACATGGTAAAGAGCCTATTGGCAAGCTAAACCTCGCTAGCACTACCAAATTAAAACAAATTGGGTTGAAAAATTCAAAACCCATTAGATTTGCTTCGAGATATGTATAAAATCAATTTTGATTGATTACCCATATGGCGTAATATTTTTTTAAGCAAATCTAATGACTTTGAGATCCATCCCAAAATTATGCAAGTATCCTCACCCAATTTTTTTTCAAAACCAAAAGGGCGCCGGCACCACAAATTAGTGCCTTCAGGACATAAGAGGAACACTTATCTTATGTTTTATTGAACATCAATAGTGTTCTGTTTAAAACTTAATGCTTATGATAGCATATATCATGAAGTTTGCAGTAAAAACATGACAAATAAAATAATTTCACAGGTTAAAAGCATAAATTGTTAAGTTATTGATGCGGCCACAAGTCATAGCTTCTCCAATCTAATGGAAAGCAGACAAGTGATGAATGTTCCAATGTACTTCAGGCAGAAAGTTTAAGGAGGATTGCAAGGATATGAGCTTACCTGGGCACTTTTGTTGGCAGCAGGCCTGTATGGACACGCCGGAGGAACCCTCTCTGGCTTTCTGTATTCCCATCCAAAAAGTCTATAAATTTTTGCCTGTTAAAAAAAAAATGTAAAAGCACAGAGAGATGTTGTAAGCAGAGAGCTGTGTAAGAAAAATCAAAATAATCATTCATGATTTGATGCAGAGAGTTGTCTTCACTTGGCTAAGATATTCTCTTATGTTTCTATCTTTGAAGGAGAAGATATTATTTTGAAAAGTATTATTGAAATCAGTGAATCTCTGGTCTAAGTATGAACGGACATAAATTTTCAATATACGGTATTGGTATTTCATTTTAAGGAAAAATACCTACAATACGAGATTGATAAATTACCAGATGAAATTGTCAAGTTGACAGGCACTCCCATAAAAAGCTGAGCTAGTAAATAAGCAAACAAGTACATTTTCTTACCATTTTAATTTTTTTTAAAGAGTGTAAAACAAAAGTAATGTCAAACTAGACCTTGAAAAAAACAAGATAAAATACAGTCTTCTACTGCACATGAACCTCAAGGTATCAGAAAGTCACAACTATAATTGAACATAAGACCTGTATTTTAGAAAATCTAACTAAACATGGTTATTCTTTCAAATCAATAATGAAAGCGTAGAAAGAAAAGAAGGGAAATAAAAAGATGAACATATGAAAGAAATCACCAAAATCACATGCATTGCGCTTATCCAAGATGACAATCTTGCTAAAAAAATTTAAGGCACATTTGAACAAGGAATTAAATCTTGGAAGTAGAAGTAATTACAAATCCAACTAGAAATTTTGTATGGACAATAAAGTTTACTTACATTTACAATATAAATTAAAAATTAACACCCACACTTTTGAGGATTCACTGAAGTGCCACTGATATCGGAAGGCCATATAAAGCAATAAATGCGGATTCAAGAAAAAGAGGATCACACGAAAAAATGATGAATTTATAAGAATTGTATTAGCCTGAGGGAGTTAGAAATCAAGAACACAAGCTGAATACATACACGTCATCAAGAAGCCATAAATTCCTCAACAATATAAAGAAATCAGTTGCAGACAACTCCAGAGATTCCGCAAATATATGAAATCACAAGCAAGCAAAATAAAGGATCAATTGTAGGTAGCCAAAATAAAAGGGATCAACCACAAGGATCAATATTATATAATCTTCTCAGAAATCGTAGGAAAGGGATAAACCATAAATTAAAGTTTCATGGGAAGGTAACACCATATGAATGTGCAAAAAAATTTCAACTAGATTCAAAATAATAAAAGAAACTAAAATTCAACTAAAAACTACATTTTTAACTTACTGTACAATAGATAAAATGTTTTCAACAACTCTATAAATTCTTATTCACATCATAAATGGACAAAAAAATTTGCTTGAGCCCACTTGCAAGATTTCATATTGCATGATAGGCCAGATTCTAAAGTATAGGGGATCTATAGGTTTACATAAATCTTTGGTTGATTATAGAATACAGAATCTTAATTGAAGGAATGTGACTTTTTCTTGCAAGATTTGCAAATAGACTTCTAGTTCAAACAATTTATGAGGTGAAGTTATGTGGGCAGCAGAATATGATTAGTGGAGTTATAAACTAGAAAGGAATATTCTTTTACTAGAATTTGATCTATTATGGTTTCTAAGCTGTGCTTTTCTTAACTAAGTAAGAAGTGAGGGACGGTTAACAGATTTTAGTTTACAGATGCTTGAATTACCTTTGTCCTTTTATATTATGACTCAGAAGGTGCCCATTCAGAGAGAGGCATCGAAGGTATTCTAATTTCATAGTATAGTCAAATTTGATTCGAAGGGCATACTTTACATTTTCTTTAAAGCATCCTTTTGAATTGACAAGTATTACAAGTTTGAGCTGAAATCGAGTCGCTGAAATCATGTCACTTCTCACCTCCTCGCCCAAACACACTCATCTCCTCATCGCTAACCAGCGGATAGAAAATCTTGACCTTAAAATATTTTAACCTATTTGGAGGGGGTTCCACAGCCCAAATCAGCAAGTGAAAAAGAATTTAATCCCACAGTTCCTAATGCAAAGAGAACTACAATTCCCTATAGGGAAAAACCTAAAAGAGGAAAGAAAATTTATTTTGGTAGCTTATAAAAGGAAGAAGGATACCAATGAAATCCCCGCTTCATAATCACTAATCAATCTTCATTTCAGGATAACACCATATGCTTGAGCAAACCTCCACCAACTACTTATCACTGATGATGTCATGTCATCAACCCATGACAATCCAAAAAGATCTCAAGCTTTTTTTCCAACGACACTGAACCTCATAAAAACAAAAAATAACAAGCTAGCTAAACTTGGACCAATTCAACTTTCACGTGATATAATGATGGTGCATTTACATACCTATCACCCAACTATTATGTATTTACATATCTAACACCTAAAGGTAGCTTTTTTACATTTATACCACCCAAATATTTCATATCATAGAGAAAATACCACTATCATAACTTTTAAAAGGCAAAATACATCTTTTCATGCATAGGTAAGGTGGTATGTACGTAAAAATTGAAGTTTAGGAGTTAGATATGTAAATACTTAGGAATTAAGTGTTATGTATGTAAATCTTTCAATCATGGGTCATTTACATACATACCACCCAAATCCTATGTACTTACATATCATTCTCGCCTGCAGAACTTCCCAAAACCAAACACCCCAACTGCCACTTTGTTTTTCCTTATAAAATGAAGGAAAGCAATAAGCTAACAAAGAATTAATTGGGAGAGCATGAGTGCAGCAGTGGAGTTCCAACAATGTGCAAATTTGTGCAATGAAGACTGTTTGAGGTCAAATGACCTAAGATTTAATAGTAGCAATAGATGCGGCCTTGTGGCCACTCGTGCCATCATAAAATTTAAATGAAATTCAATAAATCCGTTGAAGCAATCGCCAAAAGGCCAATCTCTACGACCCTCGGTCCTAAATCTCTAAAGCCTCATCAATTTGTTTTTTAAAAAGGGATGCTTCACAATAGACATCAATGTTGAAGGAGGTAATTGATGTCTGACACCACCCCTCATATTGACTGTCAACTAAGGTGGGTGGCCAAAAGAGAGAACAGTCTATGCATCAATGGCTGCCCAGGCGAACAACTTTATAAGCATGAGTCCCACCACAAAATTCAAGTTAGTTTACGACCATTATTGTCACCACATTTTCAAAAAGTAAAATATTTGTACACTAGTTAGCTAGTTAGTTAAGGTAGCAGCCAACAAAAACATATTTTATGACTTTGGGGTAAAGTTTGCACATTTTATGAGTAAAAGGCAGAACAACCAAAGACCTTGAAGAAAATGGGTGCAGATGAATATATTTATAGGGCAGATTTTTATAAGAATTTGAGGAGCGATTTAAAACTATAGGATCATGAATGCATTGCAATTAATGAGATAGATAGCAGTAAAGATAAACTTCCTCTGGTAATACTTTATAGCATTGCTTGTAATCATAATGGACCAAGCAACAAACAGAAAATGCATTTTTTCCTCTCTAAGACCCTACTCTGTTGAGAAGTGTTAATACAAGGACATTGATGTACTATCTCATGTTAAGAAGATAGTTTCCAATAATGAAATGGCATTATTCTTTTCCACTGGCAATCAAGAATACTTAAATTTTGGTTCTAAGGTAGGTTTGGAAGTAATTTTTTTATAATGCAATTAGTTTCAGAGTTATCTTTCATTGTAAAAATCCAAGTAGTTCCAGCATGATAATAAACAAATGATATAAACAATCAGGCCCCTAGAAATTGGTAAATCTACATAGTCTCAGATATCACTATAAATGTAAGCAAAAAATTGAGAGGCTTAATGTACATTTATTGGCATGTTTAGACAGATGGTAAATTATCGCCAAAAAATTTTGAGGCTTTATGTACATTTTTTGGCGATAAAATATAACATTTTCATTAGCATTACTAATCGTCCTCCCTAATATCGTGAGATTTACAATGAGCAGAAAAAAATCTAGTAAAATAGTTCATATCTTTAAGGAATTTATTAATGGATAAGAGATTGCAAAAAAAATTTAAGAACTAACATGGATTAATTTACAACCACAGATCTAAAGATGTTTATTACCTTAATGTTTGTTACTTGGTGCAAGGGCCTGATACAATCCAACGTCAAAATCGGTATGCTTTTCCATAGAAATTAGGACAAACACAAATTCTATTTCCCGAACACCAAATCAAAGCAATATAACACTAATAACTCACATGAATAGAAAAGATAAGCACCTAAAATTGTAGCAAATTGACTATATATGTAATTATATGTATACATATACTGCACTTGTATATTATGAGATAGTATTAAAATATTGATAAGTCTTGTATGAACATACATAAAATTGTGGCACATAAATATTTACATAGAAATGTATGGGTTTAAATCATTTATTTTGTGATCATAAGCATTTAATATATTGTTTTATATATATATATATATATATATATGGTATGCGTCCATTTTATTGTTCATTTCACATGTCTCATTTTGTTTGTCATTTATGTTTTAATAAATAGTTGTTATTTATTGAGTTTGATGATTCATATGTTGATATTTTTGAATAGCAGCTGGTTTCACCCAGCCACTCGAAGGGTCGTCTCCACTGGAGCAATTTTTCCAGCTTTAGATTTACTTTTAGTATTTTCAGTTTCGTACTAATTATTGCATCTTCCTTATAACATTGGGTAGTTTTTTTCTTATTTTCACCTTAGTTTCTTTCAGTTATTTATTTGTTTCATTCAGTTGTATCAGTTATATAACTCGTATTTATGAAATGAAATAAATTTTATCATTTCTTACTTATTTTCATTATTTTTTCTATATAATCCTTTCTTTTGAAAATATAAAACAGGCTAAGACCCTTTTATCATGCCTTGCATTACCGGAGTGTACCATCTGTCTGACCCGAGGTGTGACTAAACCAAATCAAAATGCATCCAATGGTTAAAACTCAATAAGAACACTTATGGAAAATCTTTTCTAAGATAATTCAAATGTAGAAGTAAGCGTTTCATAAGAACAGAAACTGAGAAAAATAAAAAGCTGGGTTAAGGCAATCCTTCAGCAGAAGTTCACCTATGATCCCCCAAAATAAACCCTAGAATTGGGAGAATTGACAAAAAATGGAACTTCGAATCGCAGAGAAAAGCTTACCAGGATAAAACTGAAAAGTAACGGCAAGGCGTTCACTACCGGGATAAGGAACAGCGGCAAAAGGCAGGCTAAGCACACCTATAAATTGGATGATCAGGAGAAAGCGAAAAGAAAGGTTAACCTCTTGTGCAAATGAATTTAAAGAAATTTGAACGTTATACGATTGATGGACTCAAAGATGGAGAAGAAAAATGGAAATTTCAGGTAAAAAATATAGGAATTACCATTTCGGATGTCTTCGCTCTCGTCGATGCGACTCTCCAGGTTCGTTCGTCGATTGTATGATGCAATACCCGACAAGTCACCGTTCTGCTGCTTAAAATTAAATGTGCCCGATTATTTATTATTTATATATCTAACACCTAAATGTATGATTTATTTTAATAGCACCCAAATCTCTTCTAAACTCTCAAAATATCACTCAATCAATTTATATTTCTCTCTCTAAAAGATTATTTTTCTTCCTCCCTAATCTATCATCTTGTAGCATTTTCTGTCATATGCCCTAAATTTTGTTAGACTTATAAAATGTTCATCCATCTAGCTTCTACAACACATCTATTTGTGAAGCTTGAAAGCTACTACGTTATTCTTTTATTTTTTATCTCAAAAAACTTTTATTTTTTCATATCTTTCTTCTGCTACTTAGTTTTTTTTTTTTTTTTAAATGTTAGACAACTATTTTTTGTCCTCATGTGACTTCCAATCGTTGCTTCTTAGCTTGCATTACCCACTATTAAACTTTCTATAGCCTTCCAATCGTTGCTTCTTAGCTTGCATTACCCACTATATATTATTATAAATAGGGAGAATGAACTTTGTATAGCGAGTAAGAGAGAAAAAACATTATAATAAACTTTCTATATTTCTTAATCCTTTGGTTGCTTTCATTTTATTCCTCTGTTACCATAAAATGGTAAAAGAAATGTCTTAATTTTGGCTTCTTCTTCCACTACACAAGATCAGAGAAAGGGAAATTCATCATAGCCAAGGAACCACTCTAGTTTTGCAAATTATAATTGATAGCAACCATGCATCTAAGAGCAGAGCATTAATGAATGTGTTATCAACTAATAATAAATTTGGCTTCGTTAACGGATCCATCACCAAACCAGAACGTATAAATTCAAATCTTGCACATTTTTAGACAAGAAATAACAATATAGTTATTTAGTTATTTCTTGGATCATAAACTCTGTTTTAAAAGAATTCTCTACAACATTATCTACCTGAACACTGCCCATGAAAACTATGAGGATCTCAAGCTTCATTTCTAGCAGAGCTGTGGTATGAAATCTTACAATTGTGATATAAGATAAGCAATCTAAAACAAAACCATGATTTAGTGAGAACCATTTCACAGAGCTCAAAATATTGTGGCAAGAACTGACCAAAAACACAAGTGCTCTTGCCAAAAAGTGTGTGTGGATGCATCTAGAAGGTCAACGAATATCGTTAAGCAGAGTATACAATGAATTTTCTTATGGGTCTCAATGATTCATTTAATTATGCTTGCGGACAAATGCTCCTAATATATCCTCTTCCACCCCTAAAACGTGTGTTCACTCTTATTTTCCAAGAAGAGAAACAAAGAAACGTGAGGCAACTTGTGTTACCCGGGAATGATAGTGAATTGGCTTTTACATTCAAAAATGAAAACCATAACAGCGAATCAAGAAACTTCAAGAAATATAAAGGGCACAAAATGGACAAACCTTATTGCACATATTGTAACTACATAGGACTCACAAAAGAAAAGTTATACAAATTGAATCGATATACTCTTGGGTATAAGTTGAGACCAGAAAGTCAATCATAAGTTTAATCAGTTACCATTAATTAATCATCTACCAAGGAAGAAAATCTAATCAAACATGATGAAGGATTCTTTTAGAATGTAAACAATGATCAATATAAATAAATTGATGGTAGTGTTTTCCAGTTACCTTTGCTCCAGTTCAAAAAGCAACAACGCAGATTTACAAGTTAAAAGTTTTTATTTTTCATTTTTTTTTTCAAATATCAGCATCCATACATGGGGTGGTTGATTCCAGTGCATCTAAACATATATGTTGTAATGTGAATTTATTCATTTGCTTAAAGCATATTGAAAACACAACAATTATTTTACCAAATCTCACAAAAAATTCAGTAAGTTTATGTGGAGATGTGGAACTAAATTCAAAACTAATTTTGTATGATGAATTATTTATCCTTTCATTTGTTTTTAACTTTTCAAATAGTGTTATTTTGATAAACAATTAAGTAACGGTTAACTTTACTTATGAGTATTTTATCATTCAGAGCATGAGGGTGATTGGCAATTGTGAAAGAAAGGATGACTTGTACATTTTAAGTTCTAATTAATTGAATACTATTTTGTATGCAAATATTATTTCTATCCATACATGGCATAATAGACTCGAACACCATCGTATAATGGAAAGTCTCAGAGACATCTAAGTGCAACTTGTTAGAAACAAATAAAATTGATTTATCATGTGTGACCCCTCGCTAAGCAACACAGACTACTTTTTATTTCTCAAGATAATATATCTCCTGATGCTTTTGATTTAATTCATCATGATGTTTGAAGTTCTTATCATATTACATCCCACTCAGACATAGATTTTTTATTACCTTAGTAGATGACTCTTCTCCTTTTATATGAGTTTGTCTACTCAAACACAAATTTGAGACTTCTTTAACTATAAAATAGCTTCTTTAACATGATTAAACCTCAATTTAATTGTGAAAAGAAAAAAAAAAACTAACAAAATCCATGAGATAAACCATATAGGCTTTTTAATACATCTGGTACATTGCAACAAAATGATATGTTAATTCACTGCAACAAAACATTTTTGTAGAGTGAAAACACCAATGCTTGCTTAATGTAGTCACAAAATTATATTTTCAATCTAAGGTTCCCATTTAATGCTAGAGTTAGTTCATTTTTATAGCCACTACTTTAATAAACTTAACACCATCAATTCTCCAAAATCAAACTCTTTTTGGGCTCTATATAAAAACCTATCAACTATGAATTTTTGTGTCTTTGGATGTCTTGCTTTGGCATCCACCTTAACTAATCAAAGGGCTAAATTTTAACGTTGTGTTTGAGCTTATATCTTCTTAGGTTATCCCCTTATTATAAAATAATAAATGATGTATGGCATAAATATTAATCAAATATTTATATCATGTGATGTTTTTTTCTATGAAGAATAATTTCCTTATCACTTTATAGTCAATGAAGTTGCAGAGATAGTTTTTGATGAATTTGTTCAACCAAATCCATCTACTAACACTTACCACTGCTTTCACATGTCACTGAACCTCAAGTTGAAGTTCCCATCATTCCTAACTCACAAACTTCTACTATGGCCCCACCTTTTTCATCATATAAAGACACACGTACCTTAGTTACATGTGATATTTTCATTGTAATCTTCTAAATTTTCATTCTTCTATTAAAAATTTCTCCAACACATCCATAAATCCTATTTCTAATTTCATATCCTATAAAATATTATCAAACGAACATAAAAAATTTGCTTTCATCATTTCAAAAAAATTTGAACCCAAAAGTACTAGCAAGTAGCTAAAATCCTTGAATGGAAAGAAGCCATGATATATAAATTATGGCCTTACAAGAATACCAGGCATAGTCCATTGTTGATCTTTTGCATGACGAACAAGCATTTAGCTGTAAGTAGATTTATAAAATTTAATCAGTGTTGATGGATCAACAAATAAATATTCAGTATGATTTTTCATTAAAGGATAAACACAACAACAATGCATTGATTATTCAAAGACATTCTCTCATGTTACAAAGATGCTCATTATAAAGCTTTGTTTTGCTATAGCAGCCACCTGCCAATGGACTCTAATGCATTTAGACTTTAATAATGCTTTCCTTCATGGTGTTCTCATGGAAAAAGTTTACATGAGCATTAACCAAATCAACGTTTTTTAGACTATATATGTCTATATGTGGTCTTAAGCAAGCCTCTCATCAATGGTACTCAAAACATTTCTAAATATTTTTATTAAACTTTGGTTCAATATTCCAAATTTTAATATTCATTATTTATTAAAGAGAGTGACTTAAAGTTCATTCCTTAACTCATCTATGTTAACGATATTATTTTCACTAGACCTTCGTGATGTCATTTATTTTAGGTATGATGTCGGTTATACTTAAAGAAATTTGTGGTTTAGGTTTAATGTTGGTAGAACCTAAATTTTAAGTAAGTTTAAGTCCAATGTAGGCAAGAATTAAGGTTTAAGATGTTTTAAGCCCAATTTAGGTAGGGCATAAGGTATGATGTGGTTTAGGTTCAGTGTTGGTAGAACCTAAAGCTTAAGTAAGTTTAAGTCCAATGTAGGTAGGACTTAAGGTTTAAGATGGTTTAAGCCCAATATAGGTAGAACCTAAGGTATGATGTGGTTTAAGTTCAATGTAGGTAGAACCTAAAGTTTAAGTAAGTTTAAGTCCAATGTAGGTAGGACTTAAGGTTTAAGTTGGTTTAAGCCCAATTTAGGTATGACCTAAGGTATGATGTGGTTTAGGTTCAATGTAGGTAGAACCTAAAATTTAAGTAAATTTAAGTTCAATGTAGGTAGGATTTAATATTTAATATCACTTAGGTACAATTTGGGTAGAATTAAGGATTGGAGATAATTTAAGTTCAATATGAGTAGGACTAAAAGTTTGTCTTAACTTAGGTTCAATGTAGGTTGAACTTTAAGATTTAAGTAAGTTTAGGATTGACTTAAGTTCAATGTGGGTTGAACCTAAAAGTTTAAGTTTGATTTAGATTCAATGTAGGTTGAACCTAAAGTTTGGTTTATCTTAGGGTTTGGCTTAATTTTGGTTCAATATTAGTTGAACCTAAGAGTTTATATTTACTTATATTGAACCAAAGGGTTTTAGTTTTAGCTTAGGTTCAATGTGGGTTGAACCTAAGAGTTTAGGTTGGTTTAGGTTCAATTTGGGTTAAACTTAAGAGTTTAGGTTGATTTATGTTTAATTTGGGTTAAACCTAGGGCTTATGTGGAATTAGGTTTAATTTGGGTTGAACCAAATGTTTAGGTTTAAGAATAATTATGTCTAATTTAGGTTAGACTTAATTATGATTTAAGGTTTTTTAAGCCTAATATGAGTAAGGCTTTAGGTATTAATTAAGTCTAATTGGAATTAGACTTAAATAGAGTTTATGTTAACTTAAGTCTAATGTAGTTAAGACTTAAGAGTTTAGTTAAATCTAGCTAAGATTAGACCTAATTAGATTTGAAGGTTAATTAAACCTAATAAGGGGAAG